CCTCAGTCTTCTCCATGTCAGTTGTAGCCAGGTCTCCCATTTTGCTCATCACAGGGGGCACATTTTCTCTCATCTACCTTTGTTGTCCTGTGTACCCAAAGAAACCCGTGTTATTTTTCACATCCCTAGCCAATTTCAGCTCCAGCTGTGCCTTGGCTTTCCTGATCCCCTCCCTCCATGTCCCTATAATCTCCCCAGGATGTGTATCCCTACCTCCACCACCTGTGCGTTTTGGTTTTGTGTTTTAGTTTGGCTAAGAAGTCTTGACTTAGCCAAGCTGGCCTCCTGCCTCCCCTGCTTGACTTCTTGCACATAGGACTGAGAGCTCTTGCACCCTAAGAAAAATGTCTTGAAATATCTCCCAGCTCTCAGGCTCAAACAGCCTCTGAGGGCAGTTTCTCAAGGGATCCCACGCACTAGTGCCCTAAACAGCCAAAAGTTTGCCTTTCTGAGGTTTAGGGTCCTGACTCTACTTTTTACCCATCCTGTACCCCTCAAGATTGAGAATTCCACCAGGGCATGATCACTGCAGACCAGGCTACCTCCAATATTGACCTCTCCAATAAGTTCTTCCACGTTAGTGAGCAACAGGTCCAGCAATGCCTCTCCAGTTGGGCTCTCCATCACCTTTACTAGGAAGTTGTCCTCAACTTCCTAGATAGAGAAACTAAATGCAATGACTGAAATAAGCCTGTTTTTGCAGTTAGGTCTTGCAGCTGCTAAAAATTAATATGAACTGGACTCAACAGAGTATTTCACGTGACGACTTTACAAGGTGACATAAGGATGCATGGGGGAGGGAGAGGGGACCAATCCAATATAAGTTCTAGTATAATTGCCTTTTTTAGCCCTACTAAATGTTAAGCAAAAAAAATCATTGTCTTGTGTGGTTTTGAGTGAACACTGTTCATTTTACCCACACAATTGGTGACTAGGCATGAGTATAGATCCCAGTGTGTGCTGTTGTGCATAAACATTGACTTTTTTTTGTTTGATACTGCTTGCTCAACTGCCCTCCATTATTCAAAGTCTAGCTCTAATGTCTGACTAATCTATCCACATTTACCTTACAGTATTTTTAATTAATTAGTCAAATAGCTAAGTTTCTTGGCTTTGCTTTCTAGCATTGTCTTGTTAGATTTTTTTTTCTTCATTTGTTTTTAAATGCTTTGTATTCTGCTATCCTTTCACCTTATTCCTAATATTACAAAGCTCAAATACTTCATTGACCCTGGATGCCTGCTTCTGTTGGTGACATTGGTAAGTTCAAGAAAAAAATGTTAAACACTAAGTAGCTTCTCTAGTTTTAAAAAGAAAAAAAACCCAACCCACCCCCCAAAAAAAACCCCAAAACCACTGAGAAGGAGATAGGATAGTCTATAAATGAGTGCTCTAGAGAAGATACAATATTCATTATTTTTCATAACACAAAATCAAATCTCATCCAAGTAAATTACCAGAATAGATTTAAAAGACAGCACTTCCTATAAAGCTTTATATTCTATTATGGAACTCACTGCCATAAAATGTGTTCTAGAGGTTAAGTACAAATTTTCAAAAAATGGAAGCTTATAGAACTTATTCATGAGTGGTTATTAAAGAAAATTGACAGTCTGCTGTTTTAGAAATCCCTGTCCTGCTACTGGTTGGACCCTGAGAAGATATATGTAGATATTCCTCGAGACCCTTCTGCAGCTCCACAGTATCTTATTGCAGTCCGGAAAGCCTTTCTGCTTAGGCTTGGGACATGCGCAGAACCCGAAACTTGAATGTAGAGCTTTTTCCTTAGGTTTGATTAAAAATTACTTACTACAGCAAAAGAAAAGCTGTAGAAAGAGGTAATCCATTTTCTCTCATGGCCTAAAAAGTATTATCAGTTATTAAGGGAAACTGGTTCAGACTGAAACAGAGCTAGCTGGAAGCTGTAGCGCCTAGAAAAATCCTGGCAAGTAAATGGAAGAAGTTCAAGGCAGTAATGAAGAACAGATCTTCCTTATGACAAAAGCCTGGAATAGGATGTTCCATCCGTAGTATCAACAATCAGGAAGGTTGGGGAGTACATCTAAAGATGGAGCAGGGTAACTTCTCCATTTTTTTCTCCATGAATGTCTAAGTGACAGTTGTTTAACTGGAATTAACACTTCCGTAAATGCTAATATTGGGACTCTACCTATGTGCATTCTATGAAATAAGGATTTGTTTAGCTTAATGTCAATTTTTAACTCTGCAAAGCTAGCATTAAAAAAGCTAGGAAGTTCAATGAACATTCAGAGCTACTAGCCTGAGTAAGATGAAAATTTGATTTAACCGACAGTCATCCATTCTTTGATTGTGACCTTTCAGTGGACAGTGTAAGCATAGACAGTTATGAATTTTCTTAGAGGAGCGATACTGGCAGGTTCAATTA